CAAGGATGTAACATGCCAAGATCAGTTTGCCGGTGCTCATTTCATATCTTTCGTTCTTTCCTAATTTCAAATCCTGAAACTGAAATATAGGTTAAAAAAAATATCTATTAATAGATAGAAAATTATGATGTTATCGGAGTGCCACAATCAAAGTCACCAGTTCATTACAAAATACACATTATGCATTAGAAATAATTATGATATTTTATAAGAGACATTTTTATCTCCCTTTTTTGTAATACATTCATAATTATCTCCCTTCCTTCGGCACAATCACTAATGTAGTGCTGATATTTTTGACCTATTCGTGAATTAAATTATTGAATGTATATTTTTTGTGTTTAGATTGAAAACTTTAAGGAAGCGAGTGATCTCGGAAAGAATAGTTCTTTATATTACATGTATTATGTTCAGTTCATTTCTTTTCTAGAAAAGCAACAATAATTACAACAAGAGCTGTCGGTAGGACAGCAACGCTCGACTATTCTTAGTGCTTGATAGTAAAAAAAATGCTTGATACAATTACCTCCTCCTGTTTACAGGTTGGGGTAATGATGGCGAACAAGTGTGCAAAGTTTCAAAGCCATATGTCAATGGACTTTGAAAATATTTGAACTATTACAAAAACTTTAACGTAAATTCTAAGTCGAAAAAGGGGCATAATTCTGTCAAAATGCTTGATACAGTTACCTCCTCCTGTTTACATGTTTGGGTAATGATGGTGAACAAGTGTGCAAAGTTTCAAAGCCATATGTCAATGGACTTTGAAAATATTTGAACTATTACAAAAACTTTAACGTAAATTCTAAGTCGAAAAAGGGGCATAATTCTGTCAAAATTCTTGATACAGTTACCCCCTCCTGTTTACAGGTTAGGGTAATGATGGTGAACAAGTGTGCAAAGTTTCAAAGCCATATGTCAATGGACTTTGAAAATATTTGAACTATAACAAAAACTTTAACATAAGTGGTTACGCCGACGCAGACGCCGACACCGACGCCGACGCCGACGCTCGGGTGACTACAATAGCTCTACTTATTCTTATCGAATAGTCGAGCTAAAAAATCATGTTCCATCTGAAATTAACATGCTTTCAAAATACAAACATTGTACCAAATTAAAAATTGTCGTTATTAATGAACTGTAATCAGTACTTTCTGATTATTTTGTGTGGTACAATATGTTGATTAACTCTCAGCCTTCTAGTGCCAACATAATATACATGTACCCGTGCGACCAGTGCAGACCAAAATCAGTCGGCATATCCTTGACATCTGCTCATGATCTGCACTATTCGATATTAAGTTATTTATTATATTAAGTTATTTTGAAATGTTCCCTTAAAATAAGTAATGGTTTTGTCAAGATGGGCAAGTCCATTTAAAATATTTTGCAGAGTTAAAGGTGTAATCAGGGACTCACAAACCCTTATCTGTAAATTGTATTGTTCTATGTATAGCTAAAATTTGTATATCTTCAAAATATCTTACCTCGATTCTCATTTCACATACTGTACGTCAGCGGAAGTAACTGAGATCACAACATCGAGTAGCAGACACACCGGAAGTCGCAAATTTCCACTTTAAAATCTATCATCGTCTGCTACCTGTGGATACACTATTGGTAACATGGTCCAACAAATGTTACATTTTTGTGCATTTTAAAGATAATTGTAACTAAGATTATAAGTAATTTGTTTAAATTACTGAAATATTCTTAATCCTTTCACTGCCATAGGGACGGCTTATGCCGTCCCTGTCATTCTCGGCGTTTCTGCCATATGGACGGCTTTAGCCGTTTCTAAAATAATAATAGTAATAATTATAATAATGAATTAATAATAATAATAATAATAATAAAAATAATAATAATAAATATAAAGAAATTTATATCATCGACAATAATTGTTATAATACTAACATATTTGGAAAGATATATAATTATCATAATACTAATAACAAGTAATAATAATTTTATTAATTGAAAATATAGTAATTTCTTAGAAAACCCTTTGGCAAATATGTGATCAATAAAGCGATAACCCTCTGGCAGCGAAAGGGTTGACACGAAAGTTTATTTTTCAAAAAGTAAACAAGACATACATTACAAAGTTATGGTTTCCTTTTTCAAAACCCTTACCAGTATAGAGCTAGGCCAGCCTGTAAATTCGGGCAGTCTGATATGTTGCATGATTGCATCTGCGCGACAACTGTCGTCTGCTAGGATTCTTCCCGCCATTTCTTGCTTTACGTCTGCTCCATGATCAATAAACATTGTTTTTACCATCAATCGAACAATAGTCTGAACTATATAATGGTAATATTTAGAAATACACATTTTTATCTAGTTTTGTCTTTCAAAAGTAATCCAGTGATGTTTTCTTACGCCATCTGAAACCAAAGAACAATAAAATTATACTAGTCTAAAATGTCGCATTATGCATCTAAAATAATCAGTATATATAATTGTTAAAAATGTCGCATTCAACACCCAAATATCATTATTAGAAATGTCACGTTCTAAATCTAAAAGAATCAATGTTATCTTTGATATCTTGTCGCATTCTCCACCTATATACATGTATTAATATAATTATCAAAAATATCACATTACTCATATTAAACATCAATATAATTATACAAAATTGGGCATTGTACAGCTAAAAATTCAATATAACTATAAATGTCTCGCCCTTTTCTAATGAAATTGATATAACTATTTGAAATGAATAATAATAATAATTCGACTGGTATAACAAAATTAAAAAAAATCAAATCGATCATAATGTATCAGCAAAGAATCAACTTTAACGACCACCAATTCCCAAACTATTCAGAAATAAGGCCTGAATTTCCGACAAAAAAACTACCATAACACACAAATGACATTAACAACTCCAACAAAGACAAAGAAAAACTACCATAACACACATAAAAAACTCCCACAAAGACACAAACTAAAACACCGAACCCAAATCGAATAACCCCAATCACACACCAACTCCAAAAATTTGAGAAAAAAAACCAAAATCGATATAAACAATGCACACAAAATATCGTCATATACATAAATATAAAACATAGTTTTCAATTTTGACAAAACAATCTTCATTTCTAAAATATAATTTTGTAATTCTACGCAATTTCAGTTACTGACATAATACCATTTACATGTATATATGTATATCAAATTTCTTATAATGTCAAATTTTCCAAATGTAAATTGAATTAAATAAGTATGTTGTTTTAACGTTGCATTATCTGCGCTGTCCTTGTTCAACAAGCATAGCCCGATATACTAACTAGTAGTATGACTACTTGCAAGTTCATTGGTTCCTTTTGAAATTTCATCTTCTGAAACTGATAAAACTTACGAAGAAAAGTTAAAACTCATTTGTCTAAAAATAACTAGTTTCTAATAAAAGCTAATTTCTATATATAACTAGATTTACCTGATGCTCACTACCTTGAACAACGTCATTTCATCATCATTGTTACACCCATGGACGTCCTCATCAACATTACCATAAACAACAACATTGTCATCAACATGGCCATCATTTTTACATATCACACGTCAATCATCCGTGCCAATACTTGGTTAGACCTCATATGCCAACTGCCAATTAATCATATCTGTATTTTGTTTCATATCATACGCCAATTATCTATGATAATGTTTTGTTAAAAAAATGGTACATAATAAAATGGCTGCAACGGTAAGTATTTATGAATAATGATCATAATGGTCAAAAATACCGTTAACTAAGATCGAAACGTCACATGAAAAATTAAAAGTTTAACATCCTTATGATTAATGCTAATTTATAATTTAAGTCCTTATTCATATGGAAAAATTAACTTTGTGTCAAACAAATTGTACCTACGAAAAATATTTGATATTTTACAAATTTTATGTGATACAATAACATTTCCCGGATTTTCTGTGAAATATTTACATATTTTCCTTAAAAAACAAACAGTAACGCTTTCCCGATTTTCATGTGTAATAATATTACGTTTCGGCAATATAGTTTTAATTAAATATTAAATAACTTACATTTTTGATTGATATTTAGTTCTTCGACGTACTAAAATCAAAGAAACAATTCCAAACCTCCCATACTTTCGTTTCCGTCACATCCCTCTCACAAACTTCACGCAAATGTAGCTAACAGTAAAGTGCATGGAAAATCACTCGACCATGAATATTGAGCGCTCGGGGGACAATCTTGTGTGTTTAACCACTGATTGATTCTCACCAAAAAAACTCTAAACAAATCCGTTAAAGACGCCAGCAAAACACTTTCCGATCTCTTTTCAATCACACGATTCAATTTGCTATGTATTTGTATAAAACTATTGTTCCCCGCCTGGATTATTCGTTAACGTGTTTAGCACACCGTCACGTGACATGCGCGAAACAGTTTTTATTCGTCATTCGAGCATTAAGACGCAAGAACAATTGGAAGTGGTATCAAAATGAAATATTGAAAGAAGCTGGGACCTTAAAATTAAAAAACGGTTTATAATATATAAGTTTGTTAAGGTATTTAATTAAAGGAGCTCCACTAAGGTCCTAACACCTTTAGAAACACATAAAAAATACATTCTTACATAGATAAACTGCAGGACAAATATGCAAAAGATGTTAAAAATATATAGAGGATACTCAAGTTTGTTCTGTAAATCCATGATCTATTTTCATCAAGTGGTATGAAAATAAATATTTCATGAGTGGCGGTAGCCACGAGTGAAATGTTATATTTTTTATGCCACAAGATGAAAATAAATCATGTATTTATTAGAAAAAAACGAATTTACTGTTTGTTATATACATTTGTTTCTATTTTTAGATTACAATTTGGAAGACTATTCCTTAAATTTTGTGTACTGGCAGAATTTAAAAGAAAGTAGTCCTGCAAGACACCAGTGAAAACACGGAAAATATGTTTCACTATAAAATACTTTTTTTACAGTGAAAATACGAAAATGAAAATAAGCATTTTATTTCATCAATATTTCATTTGTAGGTATATAATAAATATATACACTCAGATTTGTTTTTAAATAAGATATAAATTCGATTTTGTCACGGATATTAATTACAATGTTATATATAAATCCGCGATTATGTGTAATTCTTGTCCGATTTGGGTTAAAAGCGTTTAAACACTTTTCATTTTTGGGTCATTTTGCACTACAAATGTGAGCAAGAAAAAAGTAAGTTACATGAACACTGACTTATTTATAAAAAAACCGCATCAGACTAAAATAACAAAATTAAAAAAAAAACAAAAAACAAAAAAAAAACAGATTGCAAAAGTAGAAAATAAAAAATATTCATTAGATTGTTCAAAATGCAGCGCTTTATATGCCACATCTACTCTAATTCATTTCTGTTGCTCTGGCTGTTAAAACGATCAACAGTTGTAGCAAATAGGGGATGTCACACCTTTTGTGTTTGTTTCTATGTTACTTACGCACGTGCGTACAGTATAAGTGCGTATCGGATGATCCGAAGTTTGACGGAAAGTGCCGATTGGAACACGCGCAGCGTAATACGCGGAAAGTCCGAGCGGGGCTGTAGCGCTCTTAGTTTAAACAATATTTTATTTCTATTTTACAACATAAATATATACAGTAAGCATTTACAAACACACTGATATATTTCGTGAATTGGAAAACAAGTCAAATGTGACTTATTCCTTTCCACACATAATGTACTTGCAATAAAAAAATAAGCACATATTTGGTTAGAATAATACAGAAAAGGGAAATCAGATAAATAATTAAAATGAATAAATTTGTTAGAACATTATTGTCTAGAGTTGTAGAATAAGAAAACTTCTGTTTCAAGATTGTTTCATAATATTGGGAGATTACTAAAAACAATTTCTATTACAAAGTAAAATATTGTTTTTAACTAGTATTCAATTTAAGTAAGTTTTTTTTTCAAATGATTTTGTTTAGAATGTTTCGGGGAAAAAGAGACTAAAATATTTAAATGAAGTTTTGAATTTAGATAATGAATAGAGAATATATGTCTGCACACAATATTATCGGGAAGTGATGGACAGAACAAAAGTTGATATTAGTTAGTAAAACGTTTGGAAGCTATGATAAACTGTTGTACTTTAAGAATGATTTTTTCGTTCGTGTTAAAGCTAAGGCGCTCGTCTCCGTACAAGAGATTGTTAAGTGTCAGGGGACATGGAAGGGGACTTAAATGCATGTCTCTGATGATATCATAGAGAGGACATGAAAATAAAAAGTGATGCACTGTCTCTATTTCGCCACATAGACATAATGGAGACTGGATAATAGAATTTCTATGAAGGTCAGAGTTCAGGGAGCTACAATCTAAACGAAGACGTGCGTGCAATATTTGGCCTATACGACTTCCTACATTAAATAAAGGGGAGGCTTTTGTTTTGTTTTTATTAAGGCACCGTTTAAAGGCAGCAACAGAAGATGAGTTTCTTGTATCTATAGGTAGAAAGTTCCATTCTCTTATTGCAGAAGGAAGAAATGATTAGCTATATATTTGTGTCCTTGAGTTTACTTGTCTGTGATTTCCGAGGTGGTAGGACTCGTTGTGTTGGGGTATCAGATCAGAGAGATAGTTTGGAGTAATTCCATTGTACATTATAAAGAATAAAACTAGTTTACGTTGTTTACGCCTTTCGGCCAGGGTATCCCATTTGAGGTCGTTAAGTAATTTACTAATATTGCATAATTTTGTAGCACCTGTTACTATTCTTGCTGCCTCGTTTTGAACTGCTTCAATTTCATTTTTTAACATGTTCGAGGAGTTATCCCATGTAACATCGGCGTACTCAAGCATAGGGCGGATAAAAGACATATACATTCTTTCCAAGCTTGAACGATTGAGGAGAAATTTCAGTGATCTCATGATGCCTACTCTCTGACAAGCTTTTCGCAGTATTATAGATATATGAGTATCCCATTTAACATTTTCAGAAAGGGTAACACCAAAATGTGTGTTTGATTTTGTACACGTTGATTGGAATTCCATTCATTTGAATTGGGGGATGGTTTACTTGTTTTAATTTTCTCGAAAATATCATGGATTCTGTTTTGGACGGATTAAAAGTAACCAGCCAAGCCTTTGACCATTCATGAATTTTTTGAATGTCATCATTTAAATGCTTGGCTGCGACTATGGGATTCTCTACAATGATAAAAAGGCTCGTGTCGTCTGCAAAAAGTCGTATGCTCGAATTTACATCGTCAACGATATCGTTTATATATATCAAGAAAAGCAGAGGTCCGAGGATCGAGCCCTGGGGTACGCCGGCATTAATTCATGACCAGTTAGAAGAACAATTAGCGTATAGTTTACCATTCCCGAGTTGAAAAAGAAGAAAAATTGTCACCACAATGTTCACATTGATGATAAAACATTAAATACGCGGCAACCAAACACGTCGCGCTATTTACCTGAATTTATAACCTTGCTTGATTTGATAAGTTTTAACGGTAGAGTGGAACTGATGAATGCTAAAGCTGCTTTTAATCTTAATAAATCTATCACATCATTTATTAATCGAATGTAACAATATAAGTTTTCATCTATACATAATTTATGTTTATGTTTAGAATGTATTTTAATATTTTAGCTCTCTTGTACTTAGGTGCAGGGTAAGCGTTTGTGGCAACTTTTGTCCATCGTAATAGTACGTCATTTATTCGTAGAAAAGTTTCTATTTAAAGCGTTTCAGTCTTGTTATGACTTTCTCGAAAAATGTTTCACTCTTTTTTATGATTTAAGCTACACAAAGGAAACAAAGGTTGTTTCCTTATGAATGTTTCGACCCAAGGACGATTCCATTCCAGAATTGTCAGGATGTTTCGAAACAAATTACTGACAAAACATATTTTACCATATTAATCTATATCTTTCCGAAGTATTATAACAATGCACTGGTTGGGGTAGAATCGTCTAGTGTCAACTCGTAACTGGGGGATGGAAACGTTCTGTCACCATTTCATTTGTAGTGATTGAATTTTTTGTGTGTTTTCCCTTTAGTTTTTCCTATCCATTTGTGAGAACAAAATATTTCTGAGATCATTTTTGTAAATAACGTTATATTTTAACGCTGTACACATATATCATGATAGAGTTTCAGGGGAGCGATAGCCTAATGGTTAAGGTGTCTACCTCGTAAGCTCGGAATCGTGGGTTCGAAGCCCACACGGGTCACGACCATGATTCCTCATATAGCACCAGTACTGGTTGGTTCCAGGAAGCGGACTCGAGAGTGATTCATATAAGTTGTAGGAACTTGTTTCACAATCGAGCTAAAAAAATAAGTTTAAACTAAACTAATGTTTCAGGTTTTCCAAGGTAACTCTTTTATATATCGTATCTAATATATTTAGTAAATATTCTGGAAAAATACATCGAAATAATTGACAAAAAAAATGAAATAAAATAGGTAGCCAATCAACACGAATATATCTGAAAATTCCATTCTAAAAGTCACTTGCTGCCATAAAAACTTTTGAGCCTTGCAGAATGCTTATGCATAATACAATCAAGATATAGTGCCATTAAACACAAGATTGTTTTGCGGGAAACCCTCCGCCTCACTATGGAGATTATTTGTCCCCAGCTATATTTAAATCCCTCTACGCATGTAGGATTTACACTTGGGTCATGGGTTTGCGCTGATTCCCAAGTGTGACCTTAGCCTTTGAGCAGCAGATCTGGGTGTTGTATTAGATATACTGTAAGAGACAGTGACTTATTCAAATAATTTACTTTTGCTTTGTTAGCTTAAGTATCAGTTTTAAACAAATTCTAGGTTTTGAGTATAAAGAAACCTAAGCTAAGACATTTATTTACAAATGAGATACAAAAATATTCAAGAAAATACTTTACACTTACCTGTCAGGATTCCTGACCGTTCCTCAACTATTCATGTTTTTGTTGATTTCAAGTATTTATAATAATTTTCTGTTAAATGAAGGTATTGATACCATATTATAGGACATTTTGAGATTGTAGGACTATATAGGACACTATAAGGAGGTTTATACTTTAAGAGATGATTAATTTACTTACTTTGTTTATCCTGGCATCAAAATGGCCGACAAGAGTTGTCTACCTTGATTCAAAACTTTAAATGCTTATATTTTCATAAACATATACAAATACTTACCATTTTACATGTACGAACAAAGAATGTAATCTTTATTTACCTAAGACTTAAGTTAATTTCCAAATATTTAGCTGGTATTGCTGTATTTCATAATAATCTTGATGA